TCTATATTGACTTGAATTCCGCAAACCTTCAAGAATGTTAAATAATTTCTCAAGACACACTTCTAAGTTTACGAGAGCTAACTCGGTGTAAGAAACAAAAGATGTGAAGAGAAAAAATATTAACTTCAATATTGAGACTAACAAAATTCAATCTCTCTAACAATACTCTAACATACACATATAAATGCTCGAGGCACATAGGTAGTTTCATAAGGCACGGGCATAAGCTTTAACGCACATGGTCGTCCAAAAATTTCACACGAGTATAGGCAAAATTCACATGAAAGAGAGAGAAGAAACTCGCACGGCCATGCCTATCTCCTTCACATGACCGTACCTCCGTTTTCGTAGCACACATCATACGACCAATGAGACTCGCACATGATCGTGTGATACTTTCTTTGATTTTATTAACACCATTTAGGTCCAAATAATATGTAAACTTGTTTACCGTAATAGATTTAGTTAACACATCAACTAGATTATCTTTAAAGTAAACTTTTTTCACTATAATCTTCCGTCGAAACTTCTTCTTAGATAAAATGATACATGATATCAATATGCTTCATTCTCTCATGATGTGCTTAATTTTTGGTTAAGTGTATAGCCCTCTAGTCATTATAAAAGACAACTAAATTCTTTTTTTGTTGAAGAACAAGTTCCTCCATAAGATTTCTCAACCAAATAGCCTCCTTCATGGTCTCAACTATTGTCATATTCTACTTCGGTAGTCGATAAAGCAACTCGTCAACTATAATGTTGATCTCTAACTAATACAAAAACCCGAAAGTGTAAAGATATACCCTATCAAAGATCTCTATTTATCGAGATCACTCGCATAGTTAGAATCCACAAAGCTTATAACACAAGTTTTAGAAGAATTATACCTTTCAAATACTAAATCAAAGTATGTGATACCTTTGAGATACCTAAGAATTCACTTCACTAATTGCTAATATACCTTTCTTAGGTGAGCCATATATCTCGCTCACAATACCGACTACCTAGATAATGTCTAAACAAGTGCAAATTATAATAAATATTATGTTGCCTACCGTATTAGATTATGGAACTCATGACATTTTTTTCTCTTCTTCTTCATTTTAAGGTGATTGAAAAGCTAAAAGTTTGAAGTGAGCAACCAATGGAGGAATGACAAGTTTGACCTTCCGCATACTAAAATGCTCAAGCACTTTCTCAATCTATCATTTTTATGAAAGATATAATTTTCCAACCTTTTTATCTCTTTGAATCTCTATCCCTAAGATTTTCTTGATGCTCCAAGATCTTTCATCTCAAACTCATCAATGAGTTATTTTTTCAAGCACTTGAATTTTTGATATGTTCTTAATAGCAATAAGCATGTCATCCACATATAATAAAAGATACACAAACGATTCATCTACTATCTACCTAAAATATGTACAACTATTATAAGTTGATATTGAATAACTATGATTAAACATAAAATTATCAAATCTCATTTACCACTCGCCTTGGTAATTATTTTAGGCCATACAAAGATTTCTTCAATCCGTAAACATGGTCTTTTTTCCATTTCATAAAGTATCCCTCCGGTTGAGGTATATAAATAGTCGTCTTAAACTTCCATGCAGAAAATTTATTTTCACATCAAGTTGTTTGAGCTCTAAATAAAATTGATTCATCATAGCAAACAACACATGAATAATGGTATGTTGCATAATTGTAAAAAGTACTTCATTGTAATCAATTCCCTCCATCTAAATACAACCCTTAGCCACCAATCGTGTCTTGAATCTAACATCTTCAACACTTGGTACTCCCGCCTTTTTTTAGACACCCATTTACATCCAATGACTCTATTACCTTTAAGTAATTTCATCAAATCCCAAGTCCAATTTTTGTAAAGTGACTCAATTTTTTTTATCATCATTACAACACTTGGTATTCCTCGCCTTTTTCTTAGAGACCCATTTACATCCAATGACTCTATTACCTTCAAGTAATCTCACCAAATCCCAAGTCTCATTTTTGTAAAGTGACTCAAGTTTTTCTATCATTACAACAACTCAATGATTAGACTCTTCATAAATCACTACCTCTATATAGGCGAAGGCTTCGAATACCTATTGTCTTAGCTTCAATGAGGGTATAGGCTATTAAATCAAGCATAACCATATTTCTAGAGAGGTCTTATTTGTCTCCTCTCATGACTAGTAGCTATTGAGTAAGACTGTTCAAATTTTATGACATCTTCATTCATATTTGACTCTTGTTGCACATCTGCAATCGTAGGAGATATATCCGGGATGGTTTTTGAGGAGTCTTTCTATTAAACTCCACCCGAAACTCTACTTTATCCATGATTTTCTCACTCTTTCCTAAAGAGTCACAAACAACCTTTATTTGATCAAGTATATATCTCTCATTAAAATTAACATCTCTCGCTTATAATGAATTTAGACGAATTGGGTTCAAGGCACCATACACGATAACCTTTCAACCATTAGTATAACTAATAAATAAGTATTTTTTTGCTCTAGGTTGAAGTTCACCATATTTAATATGATAATAAGCAAGGCATCTAAATACTTTTAAATTTGAATAATCATTAGTTTTACTTGATCATAACTCATTTGGAGTCTTACAATCAATGGCGATAGAGGGAGAATGGTTGACAAGATAATAAGTTGTGTTAACTACTTCGACCTAGAAATCCTTTTCCAAACTTGAATTAGAGAGCGTACATCTAGCTCTCTCCATCGAAGTCCTATTCATGCACTCTGCCATCCTATTTTATTGAGGAGTGTGTCTAACTATGTGATGCTGGATAATCCTAGAGTTTATACAAAACACATTAAAATTTTCACTATAGAATTCCAAATCATTATATATTCGAAGACATTGAACCTTCTTCCATGTTTTTGATTATGTGCTAGAACTTTCCATTGCTTGAAAGTTTCAAAAACATCATTCTTAGGTTTGAGAAAATAAACCCAAACCTTCTAAAAGTAATCATCAATAAACGTTAGAAAATAAAGTGCATCACATTTGAATGGAACCTAAGTTCGGTCCACATAAATTTAAATGAATGTAATCAAGCATGTCCTTTATAGAATGAGTGTCAATAGAAACCGCACTTTAGTTTGCTTTCCTAAGACACAATGCTCATAGAAATAAAGTGATGTCATTTGATTATCACAAAGCAAACCACGTTTACTCAAAGTAATCATACCTCTCTCACTCATATGGCCCGGACCCATATGCCATAATTGAGTCCTTTCCTTTTTCGGGATAGGAATTAATCACCCTTGCAGAGCTTGTTACTACACTACCTTATAACACATAGAGACAATTAATCCGAGTTGTTTCATCATACCCAAAGAACCTTTAGAAACCTTAAGAATTCCACTTTTACTATAATAGCTATAACCTCTCGAATCTAGATAACTTAAAGAAATTATATTCTTCTTCAAATTTGGTATATGCTTTACTTCCGTCAAAGACCTTACAACTAAATCATGACACCTCATACAAATTGTACCACTACCGGTAATCTCACAAGCCGAGTTGTTACCAATCGAGCCATCATTTGTAGGTTTATAAGTGGTAAACCACTTATAAAAAGCTTTATTTGGACACATATGATAATAAGCATTATTTGGACACATATGATAATAAGCACTCGTATTCAAAATCCACCTTTCGATAAGAATGACTATCTAGAGGACATACAATAAGAATAGTTTCATTGATATCAACATCGGTAGCTTTCGCCATACTAGTAGACTCAAAACTTTGACCTTACTATTTCTCCTTCTTCTTTAGAGTAGGACAATCGGATTTGTAATGTCATTTCTTATGATAGTAGTAGTCCTCAACATTCTTTTTCTTATCCAGGGGTGATTTAGACTTACAATGAAATTTGGGTCTTCCTTTATAACCCTCTCTATCCTTGTATCTTTCCCTTACTAAAAAACCATCGGTTTGACTATTAATAACTTAACCATTTAGTTTATATCTCAGCCTAGCAAAATTCAAAGAAGCCTTAACATCCTCTAAAGTTATAGACTCTCTACCCGACAACATTGACTTAATAAAATTCTCATACAAAGCAGGTAATGAACACAATACAACAAGAGCTTGATCTTTCTCATCAAGTTTAATATCAATATTTTTCATATCCATAACAATCTGATTGAATTAATCAAGGTGTTCTTAAATAGATGTACCTTCTCGCATCTTTAGTGTATAAAGACGTTGCTCCAAATACATCTTGTTGCAAGAGATTTCTTCATGTAGAGGCTTTCTAAATTCTTCCACGTTCCTATTGTCGTCTTGTCATCTATGACTTCTCGTAGTACCATGTTCGACAATGATAATTATATAGCACTATGAGCCTTCTCATCCATCTCTTCAATTTCGACGTAAATCATGTCATCTAAGATAAGTATCCTTAATTGCCTTGATAGAACCTTTACATCATAACAAAGCTTTCATTTTTATCCTCCATAGGCCAAAATTATTTTAACTATCAAAAGGCATAATATCAAATTTCAAAGTCTGTCAAGTACAAATGAAAAACTTAAAGATGTGCAACTTGCGCTTTGATACCAAGTTGTTATGACAAACAACGAAAATAAGATAAGTAACGACAAACAATAATCGAAAGATAAAACTAAACAAATTATCAACACACAGTATTTATATGGTTCGGCAAATTGTTTACTCCACGGGCGAGAGGAAAGTTTTATTAGCTTGATAGCAAAAGAATACAAGAATCATAGAGGCTCAATATAAAGTCTAAAGTCTCTATCTTTTACTCTATTTTCTAAACGGAGATATAAATAGGTTTAAATATCTCATACCTATAAATAAATAAAAAAACCTAATTAGCTAAATATATTATTTTGAATTCTATACTGAGATATGGTCTGTAGCATCGCCTGTGCCTTGAAGTTTTTTTTGTGTCCAAGATTTCCCAAGGAGACATAGAGATACTCTCCTGAATATCCTACCTACTCCAATTCAACATCTACCTCAAGTTCATTGTGGTCTAAATCAGTAACCTGTTTACCTTTTGTCTTCCCACTGTCTGTTGATGAAGACATCAACGGAAGTAAATCAATAGAATGAAACCACCTGTAGAACGTAGGCTGAAGACCCGGATATGCGACACAAGAACACCTGAACAAAAACAAGACAAGAAAACCCTCACTTGAGAACCTAAAGGTAAACCCTAGGGCTTATAAGAGATACCCGGAGCCCTTCTATCTTAAAATTTAGAGATTGACTTGTTTGATATTCGGATCCGTATATGACACTTCACACCCGAATCTGACCAACAGAGGCAAAAAAACCCAACTCGATCCAACTTGTTGCCATGCACGCTGACAACACTCAAATTCAAAGTTCGAGCCTCTGTTTCAATCTTTACATCTTAGTATCTTACAGTGATTTTCTTTCCTATACACTGAAATGAAAAAATATTTCACCTTTGCAATTCCAAGTAAGAATTATTAGGTTTTTTTTAGTTTCTTCTGTAGTAAAACTTGCTATGTTTATTTAAGGATTTTCCAAAACCAACTAAAACAAGTCACAAAGAGAGATTGAAAGCCAAAGCAAAAACAGGACAATTTATGGATTTGGATGACAATGGTGGTTGAAATTGTTCTTTAAATTCAGGCAGCTAAAGCTTCCATTGCTTTCTTCTTCTTCTTTTCTTCCGTATTCTGCAGGTTTTGTATTTCAGGACATTATGAAAATTACGTTTTATATGCTTTATATTAGCCTGCACTGAAATTTGGAATGGAATTAATTTTCTGAAAAGATTACAGCAAGAAAGAGAATAGTGAGACTTCTAATGATTTAATAGATAGTTCCCTATTACATCCTTCAACTTTGCCCAAGACAGACTTGCGTGCAGTATGAACAAAAAGTTTTCTTAGGAAGGGCACGTACTGTAACTGATAGCTAGTTACTTCAGAAATGTAATGGAGTGCCTTATGAGCAATTTTTTGTACTGCACATCTTCACCGACAAGCAATTGCAGTAATTGTCACCTCATTTACAGAACATGGTCCGTCTTCTACGTCTACTGCTACGTCAGGATTATTGCCAGATTCTCTGAAAAGGAATGCAGGTTGTTTAGGAGAAGGAATGGCTGTTTCCCTACTCAACATGAAAACAACTGCTAACATGGATGGTCTGTCCATGGCTTCTTCTTGCACGCACAACAGACCGATTTGTATGCTTTTCAAGGCTTCTTGCGGATGATACAACTCCTTCAGCGATGAATCAACTATCTCCAATGCTTTGTCTTCTCTCCAGAATTCCCACACCTGTGTTGTTCATATAAATCAGTAACATACAGGCTATGAGAGCAGACAATATTTATAATGGTGAATTTTCAAAGCCAGCTACGAGCCCAGAAAGCTCTCGCATAACTCACATATCCAATCAAGGTCAAGGGAGGACTCTGCTGATAGAATCTGTTGTTCTTCTTGCCACTTACAATCTCCAACAACATAACCCCGAAACTAAAAACATCTGATTTTACAGAAAATCGTCCAAACACTACATACTCTGGTGACATGTAGCCACTGCGTCAGAAAAATATGGACAAGTCCCAAGTTTTAGTATCCTTCTTGATAATTGTGCTTATGAGTTTGTGCAAATGTACTTACTATGTTCCTACAACTCGACTTGTCCTGTCTTGGATTTGGTTGCTTTCAAATATTTTTGCTATACCAAAATCTGATATTTTTGGTTTCAGCTCTGCATCTAATAGGATGTTGCTACATTTTAAATCCCTGTGAATGATTCTCAACCTGGAGTCTTGGTGTAGATATAAAATCCCACGAGCAATACCAATAATAATATCAAAGCGATTTTGCCAATCCAATATCGATCTTCTTCTTTCATCTGTTTAAAACATCATCTCTCAGAGAGCTAAAATTAAACAATAAGTGTAAAGCAAGGCAATAAATATAAATACATAAAATGACTTACCAAAGATGAAAGAATCCAAGCTTTTGTTAGGCAAGAATTCGTAAATTAACATTTTTTCCCCACCCTCAATGCAACAGCCTATAAGTTTCACAAGATTCCGGTGTTGAAGCTTTGCAATTACTCTAACTTCATTTTTAAATTCTTCTATTCCTTGTCCTGAATTTCTGGATAACCTTTTTACTGCAACCTCCTCTCCGTTAGGTAGCAGACACTAAAATAATGTTGCAAAAACGTCAGACCTCTAAATGACAATTATGACAAGAACAGAAAAACAAACAGCAAATTGAGAAGCCATTCAGTTTTTGACACTATACCTTATAAACTGGGCCAAAACCACCCTGGCCAAGTTTGCTAGCTGGAGAAAAATTGTTAGTGGCAGCTGTTATGGTGCTGAGCTTGAAATATTCCAAGTCTGTAGTATTGCTACTTCCCCGTAGTTCATCTGTAGTTGTACCTTAGAAGCAATTTCAATCATGAGAGAAAAAAAGAATTTCTCCCCTAAAGACATGATTTAGTAAGGCAGATTACTACAGTGATAAGAGTTTTGTCTTACCTTTTTGAGCCCTCTTCCTGAGCCACAAAAAAGCAAATAGGCTAATGAGAAACCATAGCGATGCAACAGATGGTGCCAAAATGGCCAGAATGTCCTTCCTTTTACCAGAACCATTTGACTTCCTGTTATATTCAGCTGCTTAAGAGGAAAATGGAAACTTTTATGCATCAACATAGAATAATCCTATTTTGAGTCATCATTGAGAAGGAAAACTGTACCTAATTCATATGCATCAACGCGAACAAATAGATCATAACTATCAGTCGTACCATATTTCATGTCTAATAATTCCCCATACCAAGTCAAACAGCCATCCCCTTGCCCAGGAATTTCAATGCTGGCGTACGCGGAGCATGAACAATTGGTCTTGCATTCTAGTTCACACTCTGCACGACTCATGCTCATGTCCACCCAAACTGCTGCGGTAGTGTCCGGAAGAATTACATTTTCCACCTTCACAAATCCTTCTCCGTGCTCGCAGACTGAAGAGGATTCCAGTCGTTTCCTGACACAACCCCCACAACCATCTCTCAGAAACCAGTCCCTTGGGCACTTGGGCTCAAACCCAAGTAAACACGAACATTCAAATCTATTTATATCAGCAGGTTCACATAAACTATTTGGACCACACCATCCATAAAAATCACATCGAGACTGAGGTTCTCTCCAAATCTCCTTCCATTGGCCATCACTTGATTCACTCTCCTGCCATGTTAACTTTTTCAAAAATCCTGAATAATCCACTACTGTTATTAGGACAAGAGAATCATCAGGAATAGTATAACCAACGTATATTTCGTCTTGAGCATTTACAAAACTCCTGTTGTACGGACTGGGCTGGCCACCCCCATGGCTTCTCCAAGGCCATGGGGCAGTTCGACGAGATGGCTTCGTACCCTTATATAAAAACACTTGTGGTGAGCCATTCGGATTGACCCTAAGTGAAACATCTCCAATTCCAGGATCATCAGCTGATCGCCACGATGTTAGGATCCACTCAAATCCTGTTTTTCGATTCAGCCCAAATTTCATTCCCGGTAGCAGAACATTCGTGGGATAATCAAAACTTTGCCATACAACTCTTTTACTCCCATCTTGAACCAAAACCAAATTTCCAGAATCCAAGAGCTCAGCTACCCAATCATTTGCTACTTCCATTGAGACATTTGTGGACCACACCGGAACTTGTTGGTCACGATTACCAAACAGAGCGAGGTTTCCGTATTGGCTGATAGAGAGAAATCCTGAGGAGCCAATGATTGGATTGTTTCTATTTGCTACCCACACCACAGTTTTTTCTGTTACTTTATGGTACCAAATCCCAAGATATCTATAGCTAGAATTGCCTGGACTGAAAAATCCTAGAGCAAAAGTATTTCCTTTGGAAATTAGGAGGTCACCTTCTTTAATGGTTTGGTTTGTCTTTATGGAGTCTTGGGATGTACAAAATGAGAATTGGAGCATTAAAAGAGAGAAAGGCAGAAACAGTTTTTCAGAATCCATGATCAAGTAAACTAGATCTTAGTCTTTCCTTGGGTTTTGAAATCCAAGAATCGGATCCACTTCGCTTATGGTGGCATCCCTTTAATGGATCCACACGGACCTTGTTTTCAATCTTCACAGTATAGACAATGACTTTTCGTCTCATTTGATGGCGGCATGCTGTTCCTAAAGACCACTTTGATTTTATTATGCGATGATGCTGATCAGCACGGCATGGAGACGTCGCAATGTTTTTTTTTTTTTTTTGAGTTTTGGACTATATAATATAAAGAGTAAATTATAAAATAGTCCCTTTAGTTTCAAGAAACAAATTAATTAATCCCTCTCATTTTTTGAGTTTACTCTTTATTTAATATAAAAAGTGATTATATTATAATACAAGTTTCAATGTACATAACTTCAATAATTTAAAGACAAAAACTTTCGTTAAACCTTTAAATATCAAAGCCAAAACCTAAATTTTCACAATGCGATTTGAACTCAACAATTTAGCTGCAAATATCACCAAACCAAATTTCAAATGGAAAACAAGTTTTGAATTTCAACTAGTTTTTGGACTAATTAAATCATATTATCTCTTGTCATCCACATCTCACTGCCTTATCTCTCTCTCTTTTCCGGTTTCTTTTTTTTTTTTTCAAAAAAAAAAAAAACAAAAAAACAAAAACAAAAACAAAAAGTCCATGCATGTTAGACTTCAAAGAAGAACAAAGAGGATGAAGTGGATCCTTCTTTTCTCCAATTTTAGTAAATGACACATGTTATACTCACTCTGCCATATGTAAGCAAAATAAACCGTTGCAAGTCTAGCCAGTTACATTGAATGCAATACATGACGAGTAAATTATAAATTAATCCTTCTAGTTTTAAGAAAAAAATTAATTAATCTTTTTTTAAAAAAAATTATTATTTAATATTTTTTTTTACAAATGTTGATTTTACTTAATTTAATATTATTTTTATTCTATAAAAATATTTTTTTCATTAATTTTCCATAATTTTTCATATTTTTTTCTTTTTTTAAAATAAAATATCAAAACAAATTGAAAAGGAGCCAAAAAAAAAAACTAGGAGATTTAAAAATATAGGGACTAAATAATTAGTCTTTGAAATAAAAGATATTAATTTATTCCTTTCTCAAAACAAAAGGGACTAATTTATAATTTAGTCAATATACGACAAAAAAAGTTCTTCTCGTCCAGAATCAAATAGTCCAATCTTAATGGAAGGAAAAAAAGAAAAAATGAAGTGCCTAACCGCACACCCTAATTTTAATGTAGGCTGGATACACCGACAGACAGTCAGCGTAGTGCATCGTGGCACTACGCAGGTTTTAGACCCACGCGTCATGCCAGATTTCTTGCCATGGATTCTCCGTGATTGCGTGTTTGAGTTTAGGCCATGTGGGTCCCATACTCCTCCCTCGTGCTTATTATTCTTTCTTTCTACTGTCGAAAACTCCACCCTTCCTACGCCGGAGTAAATTATAAATCAGTCCCTAAAGTTTAATTTATGAGTTTTGGACTATATAATATAAAGAGTAAATTATAAAATAGTCCCTTTAGTTTCAAGAAACAAATTAATTAATCCCTCTCATTTTAAAAACTATTATTTAATCTTTTAATCAGTATTAATATGCTTTATTTAATATTATTTTTATTTCATAAAATTTCTTATTTTCTCATGAATCTTTCCATATTTTTTCAGATTTTTTTTCCTTTTTTTTATTTTTTGAAACAAAAAAATCAAAATAAATTAAAAAAGAGCAAAAAAGACTAAATTCTAAGTAGATTTCAAAACATGAAGACTAAATTATTAGGTTTTGAAATAAGAGGGACTAATTAATTTGTTTCTCAAAACGAGAAGGACTAATTTATAATTGATTCCAATAAAATAGGATAATTCTCATTTATTACATAATAACTAAATAAATTAAAATTATTGAAACTCCATCGAACTTGCTAGACTATATATGTTTGCATTATTGTTCGGTCTTTTGTCATGAGAGATAACTATGCAGCTATGATTTAAACTTCAAAGAATTAAATCAAATTATTCTTAAAAAGAAAAATAAATAATTAAAAAGGAAAAAAAGAAAAGAGAAAAAGGAACTATATATTATTAAGATTCCAAATCTAAAATGGAGTTATTTTTTCCACTTACGTAAAGATAATTAATTGTCAAATATTTGTCGAACTTTTTGTTTAATATAATTATTGTATTGGATTATACATTTGGATTTTTGAGAGTTTCAAACTATTGGGGGATTGAATAGTAATTTGGATTTTATTGTTATTATTATTATTATGAATGATGGACATTGATTCTGGCCTAATATTAGATGAGATGTTATGATAAAAATGCAATATGCTATCTGTGATATATTTATGGTCTAATGTTTGGAAAGCTGCTTCTAATAGGGAATTCACAACTAGAAGTGTTTGTGAATTGTTGAGTAATATATATGGCATAAAATTGTTTGAATATTGTTTTCTATCTCAAGACATAATTTTATTTTTTGACTTGCAATATTAAATTGTTTATCAACTAAAGATAGAAGGATTTGTAATGCGGGGAGCATCTATGCTGTTTACTTATATTGTAGAAATATTGATGAAGATCGGAATTACTTATTTTTTAAATGTTCATATTATAAGGTTGCGTGAAATGTTACTCTTTTTAAAGTAAATATATTCATTTGTTTTTATATAATACTCAAAGTATCTTATAAGTCTCTAGATTTCTAATTACATCTCATTTATTTTTTAAAGTATTTGAGAAGTTCAATATGTCATTCCAATTTATGTTTTTCAACCAAATTAAAAAAAATTTACAGAAATGCTTACAAAAAAATCTAAAAAAAATACTTAAAGTCACATAGCCTACATACTATCATTTCTATCAAATTTTTAACAATGGAATTTTTTTCATCAAAATTTACTTTACTAAAATGCATAAAGAAAAAAAAATTACGGACTTTAAAAATAGAATATACAAGTCATGTGACTTTAAGTTTTTAGTAAAAGACATTTTGATTAAAAAAATTCCATTGTTGAAAAATTTGATCGAAATGAAATATTAAACATTTTTAAAATTGTCAAAAATAGATGGGAGACTTTGAGTATTAGTAGATAGATTTACCTTTCTTTTTAAATATGGACTTTATAGAGTAATTGCAAATTGAATTATGGAGTTGTAGTGGACTACAAAATATTTACAAAAGAAAAATTTTTATTCTATTATTTTCTATATTGACATGGAATGTAACCATTTATGATTTGTGACAGCAAAGAAATTATAAAATTCATGATAATAATGTTTTTGCTCTAGATGATGTGACTAAATGGATTTATCATATTATATATTCCATGTTATATAATTCTAAACTTCTATCTTAATAAGTGTTTAATTCTTAATTTCATTATATTCATATATCGATAATGGATTCATATTTTATAGTAGGGGTAAGCTCTTTCTATTTTCTCTTTTGATCAATAATAAAATTTCTTGTTTCTCTTTTGATCAATAATAAAATTTCATATATGAAAAAAACATTATGTTTTTATATTTTACGATTTGGATATGAGTAAATTATAACCTTTAGTTTTGAGAAACGAGTTAATTAGTTCTTATTGTTTTAAAAGCTAATTTTTTATTTTTTTATTTCTAATTTTTTTTTGTTAACTTAATTTTTTTTTTGGTCTATTTCAATTTGTTTTGATTTTGTGTGATTTAAGAAATATAAAAAATAAATATGTAAAATATATAGAATGATTGAAGAGAAAAAATGATTAAATGTTTACCACTCAGTCTCTGCTTTGATTCAACGAATTTGGGGATTCAGAATAACTTAATTATTAAATATTTGATAGTGATACGCATATGGACTCTAAAATCTAATTTATTCATTACATACTCATCAGTCAACATCAAAACAAACCTACCACTACACCGATAAAATTTTTTTTGAAATTATATGCGTAAACAATAATCAAACAGTCAATGATTCCATGTTACAAAATGTTAAATTTTGGATTAAAAACTCATAAACTTTTAAATTCGTTGGTAGCATCCAATTTTAAATACTCGCCCCAGGCCCAAGTTAACATGCATAATTTTTGTTAAATTTGAATAATATGTTCATCGTATAAAGATTTATTTGATATCTAACAAAAAATTAAATACATAATAGTTGCAATTGTAAATATCGAGTTTTATTGGAGGATTATTTATAAATATAAGGATAGATGTGCTATTAACTCTATTTAAAATGAAGGGTATTTTTGACATCAAAATATATAATATGCAAGTTATGTTATTTTTTTGTTAATTTAAATGAAAAAAGATCGACAAAATAATATATTGACGGAAGATCTTTCAATCAAATATTGAAATTTGTTAAGAAATTAAAATAAATTTTTAGAAAATATAAAAACATTTTCATTGTTAAAATCAAGAATCAAGACATTATATAATTAACATATTTTTTTAAGCACAAGTATAAAAGCTATATATTACTATAAAATTTCCAACACTTGTATTTTATTTATTTATAATTATTTAATGTTGTTTTTGTCTTTTGAATAAAATAAGCAGCCTCACTACCAAAATAAATAAATAATAATAATAAATAGCATTACATTGCTAAAAATCAATTTTCAATTTTTTTTTTTAATTGGAAGCTAATATATATTTAAACCTGTTTTTATAAAAAATCACATTCTACTCTTAGAAGTTAAGCAGAGAATTTTTAAAATCCTGGCCAAACATAATTTGTACAATTATAGTAAAAATATATTGTTTTAAAAAACGCACCTTTCCATTTCAACAAAATATTTTAATTTTCTTCTCTTAATGTCTTTGGCTATAGCTCTTTGGATCGATCGATCTGCTCTATTGCTATAGCTTTTTGAACATCTGGTTCTGGCATATTGAATGGAGTTCTCTTTATTTTTGGCAATTTTCTATTCCATTCCGCACCCAGCTGCTACTAAGTCTCAGAAAAGGTCGAAGTAGTTTAAAGAGAACAATATTTAGAAGAAGAGGAGGTAGTAGATTACGAGCTTTCTGATAATTAATGAGGCTACAGTTGAGCAAGAAAGCTTCTTCTTCTTCTTTTTCCTTTAATTTTTTTTTTTTTGTCAAATTTTGAAATACTAGAATAATTAGTTCTTGTAAGTATTACAAAAACACAAAAAAAAAAAAATTAATAATAATACAATAATTTGTATGATTATAAGAACCAATTTTTTCACAAAAAATTGACAAATTATTTAGTAATACAAATTTTAACAAAACTTAGTTTTAGGCATGAAAATAGAAAAAGCGCACATGCACGCGCGCACACACATACAAAAATAAGGTTTTTCTTCAAGTAAATTCATTGTTTGTGAGCATTTGAGGAAAAAAAATCCCTCCAACTAAAGAAAAATAAAAATATAATTTGATATTCAAAAAGTAACCAATATGACATCAGTTAATGAATAAATGGATAAAAATACTTGATTAGCAATTTTGAAAAAAAAATAATAATATGATCAAACAAAAAAAAATTAAAATACATTTATTGAATTTTGAAAAAACAGAAAGATTATAATTTGATATTTTGAAAAGTAACAGATACATTATCCCTAAACGGGAAAATTGACAAAAATAATTAATTGATAATTTTTTAAAAAATATTGTACTCAAATAAAAAATAAGTAAAATGTATATATTAGAAAAGTTTAGAATTTGGTATGCTTACAGTGCAATATATATATATATATATATCCTTGATCTGAGCTTAAAGCCGATCGCTTGCACCCGGGATTTCACATCCAAGATGTGCTGAAATTAAAATACAGAGGCTTCAAGGTTGTACTGCTTCCAGTAGTTTCTCGTACAACTCTGGCAGACAGGTCCTCCTGAACAAAGAAGAGAGAGTGAATATAACTGGAAACAAACTTCTAAGAGTAGAATCATGGATACATAAATGCTTTCTGAAAATGGCCGCTTATTGACAATTTGGAAAAAAAATTAAGGTGATTGCCAAATAAAATTCCTACAATTCCTCTCCTTTTTACAATCATCTCTAGAGACAATAGATTAATTTGGTCTACATTGGATCGAATGGTCATCGAAGCCGACCGACCAAGATGAATTACAGCAGATATGGTGCTGTGCTTGAAAAATTCCAAGTCAGCATCATTCCTACTTTCCTGCAGCTCATTCGCCACCAAAGCACTTTCTTGGTTTTCTAAATCAGGAAGAAAGCAAGTAAATTTCTTCCTATATGTAAGGCATATGATAACCTCAACTTTTGGAAAAATAAATACATGACATGAGTTAAATTGCTAAAAGCGATATATAGGCTTTTTCTGTCTTACCTTTTCCTCCTCTTCCTACGCAGAAATAAGCACATAGGCTAATGACAAACCATGCTGAAGCGACAGATGGTACAAGCATTGCCAGCATCTCCTTCCATTCATGAGAACCATTAGATTTTATTGCATACTCAGCTGCATGAGTGAAAACAAAAAATGCAACCAAAAAGAAAAGAGGCCTGCAAATTTTGAAGCAAGTTCATAGCCAATGGTTGTCTTTTATGAATCGAATCTTAACTCCCATCAGAAAATTTTAAAGCTGGAATACGTACCGTACCTAATTCCAGTACGTCAACACGAACATACAGATCATATATGTCATTCCTGTCAGATTGAACTGTGTCTATTAATCCCCCATACCATGTCAAGCAACCACTCCCTTTACCAGGAACATCTACACCTGCGTATGCTGAGCATGAACAATTCTGCTTGCATTCCTGTTCGCAGTCTGCACGACTCATGCTCATATCCAACCAAACTGCTGCTGAAGTATCACAAAGCAATTTGATTTCCACTTTCACAAACCCTTCTCCATGCCCGCACACAGTGGAAGACTCTTGACGCTTCCTGACACAACCACCTAATCCATCCCTCTGCAACCAGTCCCATGGATTCTTGGGTTCGTACCCAGGTAGACACGAACAACGATACATTATATATCAATAATTCTTTAAATTGTTGGAAGTACTAAATTTTTTAACTCAAGACTCTCTGTTTCTTTTTCTTTTTGAAAATTACTCCAAGCTTTTAGTTAGTTTAGACCATACGATGTACCTGGTACATATGGATAGAACAGTTTGCAAATTTTTTCATTTTAATCCATTTTCTTGATTCATCATAAAAATAATAAAAATACAAAAGCATGATCTTAATCCTTCTCATAGCAACAGGAAAGCTAAGGTGGTTAGATTGGCATAATTCAGAATGGCTTAGGCATAACAGAGTGATATAGTTTGGAAAGGAAAATAACTGACAGGACAGATATTGTTCAGATTATTCTGCTTACTATTCTAACTCGTTGCATCAATTTGCCATTGCATTCAGAACAAAAGGATACAGGATACGTCTCCTCATCTGGATGAAAATGTTACTATTTTAACTTGCTGCGGCCACCAAGATCGCAACCAGTAAGATAAATAATTCAAGGACCAATAACTTAGAAAACAACTTCAACTCTCTCCTCGAATTCCAAATGCAATTGGGATATCTCAGCCTTTTCAGGAAACGAAGAACAAAGAAAAACAGGACTGAAATTCCCCACGTTACACTGAACCACAATGTTCTTCAATGAACAACCAAACCCTAAAGTTGCCTGAGAAAAAATAAACAGTCACAACAAATTATCAACCATAGGAAACAAAATCGAATCTTTTCTGTAAAACATCAAAATTCAACCTCAAATTAAGCTATATAGAAAAAACCCAGTTCAGAAAACATGAAAAAGAAAAAGAAAAGAAAGCATCTTTTGCCGGTACCTGTGAAATGTGGAGCCTTCTCCCATTATTCAGCGCATGAATAATGGAATTCCGGGTATCACTTCAACTCCTGCCAAAACGAAAAACTAAATAAATAAATCAATTGATCTTCCATATTTTTCTTTTAAATCTTCTAAATTACAAGCCAAAACAAAAATAATATAGATGCAAAATACTAACCAGATAAAAAAAGAAAAAGAAAAAAGTGAGAGAAGGTGAACTCAGAGATAGACACTGATAAGTTGGTGCTGAGGAGTGTGGCGGCGATGACTCAATGACCATGGCAAACTTCACTCAGCACCCTCTAGTACCGTGTTCTTAACACTTACATCAATTTTCTAAGAATTTGTGAAGCAATCGCTCCATTTTAATGCTTTCAGGAGGTTGAAGAAGAAGTATCATACTGATGTGGAGAAAAATGAGAATGGGAAGGATGACATTTTTAGTAAACTGAGTGCTTCGAGCTGAGCTTGCAAAGAAAACATGGGATGCTGGTGGCATTGAGATGGGGAGTAAGAGTAATTCTAGTTAAAAAAAGGGTGCTGTTAGAGGAGGAGGGCTACTTCTTCTTCACACCCCTTCTCCACTACTACCACCACCACCAATAACATTTTGCCATTCTCGTGAAAAAACTCTTACTCCCCAGGTCAATACCACCAGCACCCCCATACCCATATTTTCTTTACTAAAAATCGCATTCTTCTCCACGTCAGTATGATATTCTTATTCAACCTTTTGATTCTATCAGAAAACTGATTATTCCTTCATAAATACATATATATCACTAGTATCCACAAATGGGTCTTTCCCCTTCTCATTTTGGCACTCAATCTTCCCATTTAGTATCGTAATCTCATCTTCATCAATCCATATCCGCTGAGACCCTCCGGTCCCAGGTCCGGCTTCCCTCTTTGCTTTCTTGTCCTCGGCATCCTTCTCCTTCTCGATCTGTCCGGTTGGGCCAGGTTTGCGCTTGGGCGAGAAGGGCTTGATGGTGACATCAGAAAGAGCAGGCGACGGTGGCTGACCTGACTCGGCGTCTGCTGAGCCATCATTCGGATCGGATTCCCAGGTAAGATCCTTTGTTTTCCTTCATTTGATTTGCAGCCTCAACTGCATTGATGTAGCTGCCAATCGTTCCAAAACAAACGATGGCAGTGATGAATCGCACAAAAACCCAACTCCCCCTAATTTCCCTCTGTGTTGTGTTTGAGCTTGTGCGAGAAAGGCGAGAGAAGGATTCTGATAGCATGTAAAGGTTTGATTTTAGGTTTACTCGTTCGATTTTGGGCTTGAACTTAGGTTTGGGACTGGATTGAGATAGGGGATGTGACCGAGGTTTTGTGGATTTGTGAGATGAAAGAGAGAAGAGGGATCTGAGGTTGTGAAAAGGCTCGATTTTAGGATTTCTCTGTTCAATTTTGGGTTTTTATTTAAGATTGGGATTGTGTTGAGGGAAGAGATAAGATCTAGGGTTTGGATTTATGAGATGAAGGAGAAGGCCATGCGATTAGGATTGTTTTGTTTGGTTTGTCCTTAAGGCTGGTGTGGGTGAAGAAATAAAATGAGGAAGGGCTGGGCTTTGGCCCAGAACGTGTGGAGGCAGGATGGGCTAGGCTTTGGGCCAGCCCGTATGAGAGCAGGCTTGCCCAAGGCAGAGAGGAAAGGCAGACCTGCCTAGCGAGCCTGGCCCATTGGGCCCAAAAGGCCCAATAATATTAATTTTAGTTATTCTCCTAGCTGAATCAATTTTGAAATTTCAACACATGCCTTTTATTTTTTTGCCGAGTTTAGGTTTAATTTTTAGAATTTTTGAGTTATTTATGCCAATTTATTTATTCAGTTAATACTTAGTTTTTAATTTCTTTCGATAATTAAATTTGGTGCTTAATGCGTGGAGGACTCCTCGGATCTCTTAATTTGTAGTAACCAATGACAATTCTCCACCAACCCAAAGATAAAAAAAATAATAAAAGGATAAAAATAAGAGGGAAAGAAAATGATGAGAGAGAGAGATGAAAAGAAAAAGGGAAAAAATGAAAAGGAAAGGAAAAGGACAAAAAATAAAAAAATTCTAGGTAAAAAAAATATTTTGACTTAAGAAATAAAACTTGAAATTTTGATTTAAAATTAATTTTGGCAGTAATAGAGTATTTAGAATATAAACTTTAGGACTAAGTCGGTGTATTTTTTTAGAAAAAAGTGTTTCTCGGTGATTGATAACTTCTCAAACGTATAATCAACCTTTTATCTTAAAATCTTTGAATCAATGCCTATTTTTGGTTTGTAGTTATGTTTAATAATAGGTAGCGATTCTTAAATCAATAATAATTCATATTAACAAAATTTTCAACAAATAAATAATAATCATAAATTTTTGAAAGTCGATTAGCAACTGAGAAAAAATTAATTAAAAAGGAAAAAAAGAAAAAGGAGCTAGGTCAGTTTAACTGTTTGGATTTGAACAAGAGGATTCAATCATGAATTCTCTACGTCTTTGGTAATCTATTTGAAAATGGAGTCGATAGTATGATAAAATGTCAAATACCAAATACTTGGCTTAATTCACCCGACACGAATTCTGTGACGTTCCAAATCAATTTGAAAACGATGAAGTCAAACATGAAGACTTGCGATGTTATTCACTTGAGAAAATTTTGCAAGCAGAAAAAAATGCACGTGGTCATTAATTTGGTCAGCAACTTTTTATGTATAGTGTTTGAATCAACTTCTGCTGTTTTGTGGAAGTAGGTGAGCCGAGAAAACCTTGCACTAAGATATTTGTCCATTTGGCATAATCTAGACAGTTCACACACACGTGTAAAGAGATACGCCACTCAGCCCTCTGCCATTTTCACCATATATTTGATCTATTGTTTATATTATGAGTAAAATCATTTAACTGTTTGGCAATCTATTGTTTTATTACTTGAATTAAAATTACCATTAAGGAAAAAAGTTTAAGTTTTTTTTTTGTTAAGAAATTAAAATAAATTATTTGAAAACGTGAAAACATTTTCATTGTTAAAATCCAAAGTCATCAGTAATATAAGTTAAAAAAAAAAATCAAGACATTATATAATTAATATATTTTTTAAGCACCGATATAAAAGCTATATGTTACAATAAAATATGCAACTTTGGTTTTTTTTTTTTTTTGAATAATAGTTATTTAATATTATTTTCGTCTTTTAAATAAATAAAGCAGGGTCACAACCAAAATAAATAAATAAATAATAAATAGCATTACATTTCAAAAACATCACTTTTAAATTTTTTTTTCAATTGGAAGTTAATATGTATTTAAACCTTTTTTTTAAAAAAAATAAATAAAAACCACATTCTACTCTTGAAAGTTAAGCGGAGAATTTTTAAAATTCTTACCAAACATTATTTGTATAATTATAGTTAAAAATAATGTTTTTAAAAAGGCACCTTTCCATTTCAACAAAATATTTTAATTTGCTTCTGGCACCCTTTCTTCTCTTAAGATCTTTGGCTCTGGCTCATTGGATCCATGGATCTGCTCTATTGCTAATGCTTTTTGGAACTTATGGTTTTGGCATTGAATCGAGTTCTCTTTATTTTTGGCAATTTTCTATTCTATTCCGGACTCAGCTGCTACTGATGAGAAAGTCTCAGAAAGGTAGAAGAAGTAGTTTGCCAAGTTTAAAGAGGACAATATTTAGAAGAAGAAAAGCTACAAATTAGAAGAAGAGGTGGTAGATTACGAGCCTTCTATAATTAACGAGGCTACAGTTGAGCCAGAAAGCATTTTTTTTCCTTTAATTTTGTGTCAAAATTTGAATTAGTAGAATAATTGGTCTTTATAATTATAAGAAAAACACAAAAAAAAAAAATTGTATGATGGTAAGGACCGAATTATTCTTTTGATTGAACACAAAAAGTTGACAAATTATTTATTTATAGTTTTATACACATTATAACTAAACTTATTTAGGTTTAGGTGTGAAAATTAAAAAAAAAAAAAAAAATTCTTCAAGAAGATTCATTACTTGTGAGCATTTGAAAGAAAAATTTCCTCCAATTAAAAAAAATAAAAATAATAATTTGATATTCAAGAAGTAACAAACATGCCATCAATTTTTGTAAAAATTAATGAAATTACTTAAATCACAATTTTAAAAAAAATTCATATACTAAAAAAATAAATAATACATTTATTCGATTGAGAAAAAAAAGGAAGATTATAATTTGATATTTTGAAGGGTAACATATACATTATCCCCTTGATTGATATATATTTTTTTAAATTAGTGTATTAAAAAAATTAAAATCTATATACTTAATTGAAAAAACTTTAGAAGTTAGCATACTTTTAGCACAATAATAATAATAATAATAATAAATAAATAAATAAATAAGAAAAAGAAGATATTCTTCATGTAAGCTTAAAGGCCGACCGTTTGCACCTGGGTTCAATTTAGCACAAAAAAGATTTTTATTATCAGGGTTTGAACTCAGATTTCATCCTGGTTGAAATTACTATTGTGCTACAGCAAAACTTATGCACCTCTATGCCATGCATATATATATATATATATATATATATATATATATTAGGTGTTTGTTTTGATTGAAAAATTAGATAGACAAAAATCAGAAGGGTTACATAAAAAAAAAAAAAATCAAGAATAGAGAGAGATAATAAATAAATAAATAATGGTATACGAACCATATTAAAAAATAGAAGAGTCGAGGGATGTTTTATGTCATTATTATTATTATTATTATTATTATTTTGAAAAAATGTTAATGTGCAGTTCTTACGTTGACTTTTTCGATTTTCCATATTGTCATAGATTAGACCCCACTAATACACTTTATTTACTACTGTTTAATTACAAGAGTCCTAACTGACGGCTATTACGTGCGGCCTTTGTTTCGGTACTGCTACAGACCGTCGCGCTCGCTGCACGTGCTCATCGCACCGCCGGAGTCAGCTCCGCGGTTTTAGCACTCGTGAATGGGAACAGCACGAATCTGGTCAGCTGATTTCACCAAATCTAGAGCTCCGACCCCATTAAAGTCAGAGTATTGAATGGTTCTAATTGGCGGTGGACAGTGACAGTGACGTCGAAGATTAAGGGTCGGAACTGACATGGTCAAAATGTAGATCACTTCAGTTCGAAAACAGCTGCTTTAGTTGACAAAGACTACATACATACAAGATCTTAACTGTTGAAAACCAAATTGATAGAGAAACAGAGAGCTTAATTATACTGCTTTTAGCGACTTACAACCCTACTAATAGTCATCTCATTTACAGAACAAGAAGATCCTTCTTCTACGTCTAAGAGTATGTGAGGATTACAACAAGGTTCATTAAAAATGAATGCAGGTTGTTTTGGAGATGGAATAGTTATTTCCGTACTATTCAACATGAAAACAACTGCCAACATGGATGGCCTGTCCATTGCATGTTCTTGCACACATAAGAGCCCAATTTGAATGCATTTCATAGCTTGTTGAGGATTATACAAATCTTCCAGTGACAAATCAACTATCTCCAATGCTCTGTCTTCCTTCCACAGCTCCCACACCTATACGTGTTACACAACATGAAACATGGGAATCGACATCAATTTAAATTTGTAAATTTTTGAAATGATCACGAGCACTGAAACTTTCTTATAACTTACATATCCAGTCAAGGTCAGGGAAGGATCTAGTGGATCAAATTTGTTGCTCTTCTTGCCACTTATAATCTCCAACAGCATGACCCCAAAACTAAAAACATCTGATTTTAAGGAAAAGTTTCCGAATGCTGCATACTCAGGGGACATGTACCCACTGCATAACAAAAATAGGACAGTAAGACAGTCTCAGAAGTTTCTGGTCTTGCATTCATGAAAACTATGCAGAGGGTATGATCACTCTCTCTCTCTATCTCTTTGGTTGGAAAAGTTTACTTACAATGTTCCTACTACTCTATTTGTCTTGTCTTGAATTTGATCGCTTTCGAATATTCTGGCCAAACCAAAATCTGAAATTTTTGGGTTCATCTCGGCATCCAATAGAATGTTGCTACATTTCAAGTCCCTATGAATGATTCTCAACCTTGAGTCCTGGTGAAGATATAGGATCCCCCGAGCAACACCAACAATAATATCAAAGCGCTTGCTCCAATCCAAGAACGACCTTCTTGTATCATCTGTAGACATAGAAAAATCCTTTTCCAGAAATTTACAAACTGACTATCACTCAGCTTAAGTAAAACAGGGAAATCAATACTTCATAGAGCACTTGCTTACCAAAAAGGATTGAATCCAAGCTTTTGTTCGGCAAGTATTCATAAATTAACATTTTCTCTCCTCCCTGAATGCAACATCCGAGAAGCTTCACAAGATTCCTGTGTTGAAGCTTTGCAATTACCAAAACTTCATTTTTAAATTCTTCTATTCCTTGTATTGAGTTTTTAGATAGCCTTTTTACTGCAACCTCCTGTCCGTTAGGCAGCTGACCCTAAATCAAGATCATTTGTTACAACAGTAAACATCAAAATCACAACAGGACAATTTGAGAAGAGCAAACTTGTGTACGCATGATATATTGAGAAACAACTGATCAGTTTTTAGGTATTTCCGTAAGAAACTACCTTATAAACTGAGCCAAAGCCTCCTTGTCCAAGTTTGTTAGCAGGAGAGAAATTGTTTGTGGCAGCAGATATGGTGCCGTGCTTGAAAAATTCCAATTCAGTATCATTCCTACTTTCCTGCAGCTCATTCGCCACCAAAGCACCTTTTTGGTTTTCGAAATCAGGAAGAAAGTAAATTTCTTCCTATATATAAGGTATATGATAACCTGAACTTTTGGAAAAATAAATACATGACATGAGTTAAATTGCTAAAAGCGAGATATAGGCTTTTTCTGTCTTACCTTTTCCTCCTCCCTTCCTAAGCCAGAAATAAGCACAGAGGCTAATGAGAAACCATGCTGAAGCGACAGATGGTACAAGTATTGCCAGCATCTGCTTCCTTTCAAGAGAACCATTTGATTTTATTGCATACTCAGCTGCATGAGAGAAAACAAAAAATGTAACCAAAAAGAAAAGAGGCCTGGAAATTTTGAAGCAAGTTCATATCCAATTGTTTGTCTTTTAAGGATCGAATCTTAACTCCCATCAGAAAATTTTATACCAGGAATAGGTACTGTACCTAATTCCAGTGCGTCAACACGAACATACAGATCATATCTGTCATTCTTCTCAGATTTAACTGTGTCTATTAATTCACCATACCATGTCAAGCAACCCCTCCCTTTACCAGGAATATCTATGCTTGCGTATGCTGAGCATGAACAATTCTGCTTGCATTCCTGTTCGCAATCTGCACGACTCATGCTCATATCTATCCAAACTGCTGCTGAAGTATCAGGAAGCAATTTGATTTCCACTTTCACAAACCCTTCTCCATGCCCGCACACTGAGGAAGACTCTTGACGCTTCCTGACACAACCACCTGATCCATCTCTCAGCAACCAGTCCCTTGGATTCTTGGGTTCGTACCCAGGTAGACACGCACATTCGAATCCGTCAACATCAGTAGGCTCACATGTGCTATAAGCACCACACCATCCATAAGAATCGCATTGATACCTAGGTGCCTTCCACACGTCCTTCCATCGATGATCACTTTCATGCAATCTTACCACCTTAACGATTCCTGAATGATGCACCATTAGTCTTTGGATGACAGAATCATCGGACGGAAGAGGGACGGCAGATGTTAGACATATTTCGTCATGATTATTCACAAAGTTAGTGTTGTATGTCCTCTTGTGGTGTCTCCACGGCCATGGGGAAGTTCGCCAGATACGGTTTTCACCCTTGTAGAGAAAGAATTGTGGTGAGCCATTTGGGTTTACCTTAAACGAATAGTCTCCGATTCCAGGATCTTCGGCTGACCTCCAAGATGTTAGGAACCGGTGGAAACCAGTTTTCAAATCTACCCCGAGTTTCATTCCCGGTAATATGTAGTTTGTTGGATAATCAAAGCTTTGCCATAGAACTTTCCTACTTTCCTGAACCAAAACAAAATTTCCTGAATCCAAAAGCTGAGCTGAACAAATTTCTATTACTTTCACTGCCACATTTGTAGACCAGACTTGGACTTTGTGGTCAAGGTTGCTGTAGAGAGCCAGGTTTCCATAGTCGTCAAATGAAAGAACTCCTGAAGAGTCATTGATGGGCTGGTTCCTATTTGCAACCCACACCACAGTTTGTTTAGGTACTTGATGGTACCAAATTCCAAGGTATCTATTGCTAGATTTACCTGGACTGAAAAATCCTAGTGCGAAAGTATTTCCTTTGGAAATCAAAACATCTCCGTCTTTGATGATTTGGTTGGTGTTTATGGAGTCCTTGGAAGTACAAAGAATGAATTGGAGAATTAGAAGCAAAGAATGCATAAACAGCTTTTCAGCATCCATGTGATCAGCTTTTGGAGCTGTGTGAGACTTAATTGCTGCAGGTGGATGTCTAAAGTGAAAGGACTAGATCATGAGAGACTTTTAGACTTCTTCCATCGCTTGATAATTAATTGTCTCTTGACAACTTGTCCTCATTTATGTCGAAGTTTGAATTGGAACAAAGGATGATGTAGTGACCAAGAAGGCGTTTTTCAACATTGAAATAGTGTTTTGACTTAATAAATTGCTTTCTGAAAAAGCTGAATACATTTATGAAAGTATTTATTTTCAACTTTTTTTATGGTGGTTTATGTAACTAAGGAGTTTTAATATGTATTTCAATGAAGGAATGAATGAATTCTCTCTCATTATTAGGTTGAATTTTTTATAAAGTAAAATAACTATCACTTTTTTTATTGTTTATTATTTTTTTTAAAAAAATCTAAACAAATTGTAGACACAATAGATTATCATCTATTATCGCTGTACAATCAAAGGTTATAAACCATCAATGTTTTAGTATTTCTACTAGTTGATAACTTGTGCTATGTCGCGGGATCCATAAATATTTATATTAGAATGTTGTATTTGATATATAATGAGTTAAGTTCGGTTATTTTTTAGAGTTGGTGTTGACTATGCCAATAGTATTTTTTTTCTTTGGGTCATTTTGCAACAAAGAAGGCAGTGTTTTATGGTTTGTTGCATGATCTTTGTATCGCAGATGTTTACAATACAATCAAACAATAATAAATATTAAAAAAATCATAAAAATGAATTAAAGGGAGCATTGAAGCTAAAATAAACTAATAAATTTTTTCATAATAATACTAAAATTCATAATAAGTTGTGTAGGCTAATTACATGATAAAAACCTCTTCGTGAGCAGAGTATTAATGTTTATTGTAGATAATAGTTTATTGAGATAGTAAAATAACGGTTGTGGTAATAAATATTGTGAATACATTAGCAATTATTTTGACATTTGATGGTACCAAATTACAAGGTATCTATCGCTAGATTTACCCGGACTGAAAAATCCTAGTGCGAAAGTATTTCCTTCGGAAATCAAAACATCTCCGTCTTTGATTATTTGGTTGGTGTTTATGGAGTCCTTGGAAGTACAAAGAATGAATTGGAGAATTAGAAGCAAAGAATGCATAAACAGTTTTTCAGCATCCATGCGATCAGCTTTTGGAGCTGTGTGAGATCTTAATTGCTGCGGGTGAATGTTTGAAGTGAAGGACTAGATCATGAGAGACTTTTAGACTTCTTCCATCACTTGATAATTAATTGTGTCTCTTGACAACTTGTCCTCATTTATGTCGAAGTTTGAATTGGAACAAAGGATGATGTAGTGACCAGGAAATCATGTTTTGACTTAATAAACTTGACTTTAATAAAACATAAAATTAAGACTTCTTACTTTTGATGTGGCATTAATGCGTTAATGCTACATGATACTTAGCGGTCTTTGTTTAGTTTTTCCAACGTATAAATAGGGTGCGCATAATTCGGTTTTAACCGAAAAAATTGGACTGAACCGAAATTGTTGAAAAATGAAAATCGAATCCAAATTGTCCAAAATTGAACCAAATAACCGTTGCTCACTCCTACATAGAACACAATGTTTTGGCTTAATAAATTGTTTGTTGAAAAAGTTGAATACATTTTTTAAAGTATTTATTCAAGTATATGTTATGTTGGTTTATATAATCAAGGAGTACTTTTTCAAGTTTCAACATACTTGAAACATGTTAGGCTATACCTATTACAAGATAGTAATCAAGAAGGCTAATAATTCGTAAGGTAGTAGCTAGTGATTAGTTCTCATCATTCTTGGTTCTCATCTTATGTCCGTAACGATCGTGGTTCTCGGTTTTTCTAAGAAGTATTATGTTTGGAGTGTCAATCCGTAACTACTCATAATTCTTTATGAATGTAAGTTTTTTATTTTCGGGTTGAGCATTGTATAGACTACAATATTATGATCCGGATTTCAATTTGTTAAGGATTTTAAGTTGGTAATTTCATTGTTAATATTGCAACTCTATTTTTTTTTAAGTTTTTAAGTCGTTTAATCTTTTAGTTCTTAGTTTAGATCAATTATTTTGATTGCATATTAGCCTAAACGTTTGAATTATTAGTTTAGAATAGACATTATTATGAATAATTGTCTTTGCAAACTTGTAACCCTACTAGTTTGGGTAGGTTGTAAGCCCTTTTTAAAGATTTGCGGACCGATTATAACTAGTTTAATTTAGCTCTTTATTAAGATAAAACACTAAAAATATCATTAGAATTAGTAGTATATTTAGAGTAATTACTTAGGGTCATCTATTTTTTAGTCTAGAAAATAGATTGTGTTGCAAACCACTATCCAACCATCTATTTATCTTTTAGTAGAAAGTTCTCTTAATTGAAACTAGCATAAAGAACTCGCAAGTAGATTTGGCAACTATAGTGGGAGTAATATTTTAGATGGCACGAAAAAAATTGACCAAAGTCCCATTAGATTGGAACAAAGATGATGAAAATCATCCCTTTGTAACAACTACTACTATGTAAGAAGAAGGTCTATAATCAACTAGAAATGAAGAGATAATTGATGTCTATGTCTTTTTGTTAGTTGAGGAAAGGCAAAACCAACCCAAAGCTAGTTTAAAAAAAATCTATAAATTAATATAAATTAAAGATCAAGCTTTAACTCAACAAATAAAAGACAAACATAAACTGAAAATGGAATTAATAAAAAACCGTTATAAGGAGTTAATGTTGGCCACTAGCAAAAATACACATATTTTGATAGAATCTAACATCAACGAAAGAGAGATTGTTGTTAAACGGATAAGACATGATATAAACACTCGTAAACCATAGAGAGACAAACTCATGTGGGTTTAAACAAAACCCTAATGGATGTGAGCAACCATTTAGAGTCTAGAGTAAAAAAAAAAAAAAGAAATACTATGATTATTGATTTCAATCACATGATGTCCGAAATTGTTCATAAAATCTCTAAACAAGTGGCTCTAGAGGTTGGAAATTAGATGGATGGATGAAAACTCTTTAAAAAGACTAGTTAAGTGGGACCTTTCGATGTAAATCCACCTAAAAGAGCCTACAGGTGATTCTTGTAAAGATGTGGTGGCTTCGGTGAGCCTAAATATTTTTTCCAAACTACATAAAAACCTATAATGATAGGGAAATTAGTAGTACTAAAAAACCTCTTATAGGCCTCCATGATTCCATAGAAACTAGGAATTATAGGCTTGTAATTTAGAAAGTAAAACGGGAAATCATATAGAAAAATAGAGAGTGTTTGTTAATGATTAAGGGCCAAATTGTCATCCCCTTGTACAACCTTTAATATTTGAGCTTGGATATATCTTAAGAGTTATAGAACGGGCTTTTGGTCTAAGGATTGAACAAAACCATAGACCAACTTATAATCATCCTTATACTAATTATATAGATAAGGAATATCCTAACCCTCTTAATTTTAGGTTTCCGATTTCGGTTGTTCAATTGTTGAGGATTAGTCACAACCACGGACACATTACTAGATTTATTTGCCAATGCAAGAAGGTTGTGTTAGAATCTATTTCATTTTTACCGACATATATAGAAATGCATCAAAAGCCTTACGAGTATTATAGAATCTGAATTTTCTAAAGTGGGAAATACTTTACTTGATATAAGAGTATTTTTCTAGTGAAAATTCTTTACATTGTCTTTAAAAGGTATCATGAAAAATCTACAAAGTGAAAAAAATATGTTTTACTATGTTGTACCAAAATTTGATATGGGTTTGGACCCAAAAAAATAGAAGGAAAGGTCACAATAAGTTCTTCAATGAATTTTAATTTCTTTAGTCGGTTCTTTTTCTTAATTTTTTTTTAATTTTCTTAACTTAAATTCATTAGTTGAAACATAAATCATTTCTAGTTCATAGAGCCCATCACGTACTCATGGCCTAAAAAACTAAACCATTTGAAATAAGCTAGGCAACTTGCAACGACAACAAAAATTGGCTAGATTCATATAAGATAATGACTCTAAACAAGATTAAATCATGGAAATAAATGTCAAAAATCAGTCTTATTAAGTGGAAGAATAACGAAATATAGCTTCAATAAAGACATGATCAAGATAATTAAAAAAACATAGGATACTACAATACAAGAATTATAAAATGCTATAAGAGACGTGGTTCATCACAATGTAAGAAAATTAGACTAAAGAAGAACATGGATATGTGGTATAATGCG